CATATGCAGGTGTTTTCACATTGGGCTTGATTTTCCCCTGCCAGCACTGCCGCCAGCGCGCCGCGCAGGAAACTGCCCTGCAGTGACGCAGGTACCTTCTCCACCCACTTTTCAGGCCCAGAGGACTCAGCGAGGGTTAGGCAGCGAAGCACTCCGATCCGGCAGTAAGCCCAAGTTCAAAGTGGATGCAGAGCTGTGCTGTCCAACTCTACCTGAAACCGCCAAAGCAAACTCGGCAGAACACCCCCGTTTACAGCTATCGTTATTTTTCAGCCATCACATACCACATACGACGTGGACGTAACGGCAAGGGAGGCTCCGCGTAGCGAAGTTTCTCTCTCTCAATTTCCCTTGCTGGGCGAAAGCCCGCTCTGCCTCTGGCAGCTGCAGCGGCGCCCCAGGCCCGGCAGACATCCCGTCTGTGCCTGCCTCACCCGCATCCCCGTCCCAAACTGGCTCAGAGACCATTAAGGCCAGGCAGGGCTGCTCGAACCTTTTCACCTGGCTTCCTGCAGAACAGCCGATAGATTTTACCTAGTGTTGGCCTAGGAAGCCCTGGCTGGGCTGGGAAATGTCTTTCCAGAGGGGAAGCTGGTCTTTGTTTAGAGCCTGACTGAAAGGAGCGTCAGCGGGAGCGCCGGCAGGCGCTGAGCGGTGCCGGGCCTCGCTGGGATGCAGCTCACAGCGCTGCTCGCCACGCACTGGTTTCCAACTTGAAATGATGAGATTATCCACAGGTTTACTGCGGATCCTTCTGGCCAGTCTGAACCAGCGCTCAGCTAGTCCTTTCTTAATTAACCTCTGTCCTGCAGACTGTATGATTAAATAGGCCGCTGCTTCTACTCGGCTTTCAAGTTACCTGTGGTCTTCTGCTCCTTCAGAAAGTTTCACCGCCCTGCCGAAACCAACCCATGCTGGCAATGGGAAAGCAGAGGGCTGAGAATATGTGCAAAGAAATAAACGTTTTCCCCTCGTTTAACAGTATAAAGGCCAAAATACATTTTCTGTGAAGCGATCTGACGGTTGGATATGCTACTGAAATGCTGCTCTGGCTAGAATGGGAAATTTGAAGAAGCTGTTTGAAATTATAATCTGGACTGCAGACTGGACACTACACAAAGCTGACACATAAAGCATAGGATGTTTTTTAACTCACCCTTTAATATTGATAGTGGGTGGTCCTGACGCCAAAAAAATTGTGGCATAACACTTTGCTACTTGCCCTAGATTACTCGTCTGGATGTTGGGTGTAAAGCGGGTAAAAGTACCCCTGGGTAAACACGATAATCGCTATCCCATGAGGCGCTCAGAGCCGGTGTTTCCCGGCAGGGAGAGCAGAGGCCGGCTGGTGGGGCGCCTTGGCCAGGGTGTGCGGAGGGGAGCGCAGGCAGACGCCTGCACCATAAGCAGAGGTGCCGGGGCTGCTTGCTTAAAGGCCAACCTGGGTGAGGAGGCTATTAGCCCAGCAATGGCCCAAATCGATCAAGCCTGCAAAAAATTAGGGCTTATTAGCTTGAGATTAATTCCAGACTGAGAAAGCTGGAGCGCAGCAGGCCCCGGACGCTGAGCCTGCACAGCGCTTGCTGCGCAGGGCGGCCCCGGCTGGCTCCGCCGGCTCCGTTCTGCCATGCCCCCTTTTGCAGCTGGCCGTACCCAGTGCCAAGAACATCTCCAGCCAAGGGCGCCCGAGAGCTGGGGGGACCGTCAGCGGGGCTCAGTGCGCCGCAGAGAGGTGACTGCGGTCAGGAAAAAGGTATGAGCTGAGGGCTCAAAGAGGTACGAGGACAGTAAAACTCAGCTCATGAGTTTCTCAGTTCCCTTTCACTGTTGGCCTGTTCTAGCCAGTCTCTCTCTCTCTTTTGTCAAGCCGTGAAATTTCAGCGCTAATCCCTATGAGAGGCTAGAACAGACAACCTGTCTCCTGAATTTACTCATCATCAGCTAGATAACTACCTCATGAAAAGAAATTCAGCAAACGTATTATTTTTGTCCTAATGAAGTGCTCTTTCAGTTCAGTGAAGGGCTGTATGTCCTCAGCCAGCCCTTGGTAATTCTGACTTTTTCTGAGGTGCAGTGTCTTGGAGATTGGCAGCTAGCCCGGGGCAAAAGCCCTCCTAACAGAGCCCCACTGAGACCTAGGCAAACCAACACAGTAAGGAATTCAACAGGCAATCAATAAGACAGCCATCAAAATTAACATTAAGGGTGTCTTGTAGGGAACATAATTAATTTTATGATACCATCTCGGAACTAATATTTGAGTGTCATTAAGAGACTACATTGCTTTCAGAGCTTTTGGCTAAAGTAGTTATCTAGCAGTGTGCAGGTTGTTGTTCCGCCTAAATCAAACGTTGTGGGAAATAATGTGTAAAAAGACCCAGAGTTTTTTATAAGCTGTGCCACAACTCGCTGATTATATTTGTGTAGCCATCAGAAGCTTAGTGTTAATTTTTTGAGACCTTCTTGTATAATCTCTGTAATCTCTTGTCCACAGCAACTAGCAGCACCCTTGTTCAGTTCACTGTTACGTGCACTATCCTGAGAGCTATATTTAGAAAATTTGCTGTAAAAAGATATCAGTATTAAAAAAGTGCTAGAAATAGACTTAATTTACTTAACATTTATGACTGAAATTAATATTCTATATGAAATGCTATAATGTCTATATGCCTATTTGTATTCTTTGTATGTATAAATATGCGTGAACATGTGCACGTCTATATGCACACAACATTTTGTACTGTTATAGGCCATCTTTATTAAAAGGTAACAACTCCTTTAATCTCAAAAAATGTCCTGATCCATAACTATAGATCTACACTAGCCAGAAGAAGTTTGATTTGGGGAAAAAGCAGGTATGGTTCTGAGGTTCACAGCTGTCTCAGTTTTCTTTACAAAGAAAATCCAAAATTCCAGATTTTAAACGTTCTTTCCATACAATTTCCCCCCACAAGAATATGCGTGGATCAGAGTCACAAAATCCTGACTTTGAGGCTTCAGTTTAAACTCTTTGCTTGCCCCTCATTTAGATACAGACCAAAATGTAAGAAAGAATAAGAGATTTTCTGCTTCTCAAGATGGCAGGGGTCTCACAAGATGAATGATCCTCATGGTGTTTTTATTTTAGGAAGAAATCTGACAGTACAGATTTTGGAATTTTGCCAGTACTAAGCCTTAATCTGAATTCAGCCTCAGATCTGAACACTGAGCTACACCTCGTGCAAAGTCTCCTCCAAATAGTTGCCTAGTGGTGAAGAGGAAAATAAATGTTTTCCAGTCTTATTTAGGACAGTACTCCATCCTATCTCACAGCCTTTTGTTGTGATATTGATTAATGCACAAATCTCTGTCTCCTCAGCCATCTATCTCAGCCATTGCAAAATGTGAAATGGCTTTCCTTTTCCCATCATAATGATGGCACAATTGATTTCTTTTTATCTTACTGGTGAGGTGACAGGAAGTGGCAATCTTTTATTAATGATGTTTTTGTGTCATGCTGGTCTTCTTAATAATCTTTTTACCTGACAATGGGCAAAAGTAACACACAACGTATAATATTTGAGTTGAGATCCTCTAATTAGAAAGTATTCCATTTTGACCTGCAATATGCAAAGAATAAATGGAAATGTTAGCAGAAGCAAAAATAATTTTGTTCTGCTAGAAAAAATTTTATCAAAAAATAAGCCTATGGTGGTATTTCATAGGATCATCTGTTGTTTGTAACTTTTCACAAAAGCATCTGGAAATAGAAAGGGGCCATATATAGACAGTGCATAGGCTCAAATTCCTAGAATGTTTTGAGGAACCCTATGAGAGCTGAAATCTCCGGGGCACCAGCTGTACAATCGCTATTGTTCATCCGCTGAGAATCTTTACAGCAGCCTTCTACAAAGAACCACTATGCTGTCTTAATTACAAGTTTAGAAAAAAAGCCAAAGAAAATTTCTGGCAGCACCCAGACTGACAGGAAATTCAAACATCTTCAAGTATATAAGCCAATGAAGCTGTTGAAACTGAACCCGTTTGCAAGGGGATTTTTTTTTGATGTGTGCGAGATGAGCCTGAGGCTGGAGGTGACTGTGTCAAACGGAATGAAAGAGCAGGAACAGGAGGAGGAGGGAGAGGATGAATAGAGCACCAAAACATGTTTTTTCAATGAGTTTTTGGTGGGTGTTACCATGCCCCGTCTAGCAACGCTTCTGCCTCCGTGCATCCTGCATCCCTGCACAGCACAGTTTGCCCTGGGCACAATGCCAGCCGTAGCTGAGTAGTTGGGACTTGCCGGGCAGGAAATCAGCATTTCCTGATGCCCTTTGGGCAGACCATGCCCACAAGGCTGGCATAAATTCTCCTCCTTTCTAGCATGTGCCAACTACTTACAGAGACTGACACTGTAGTTTTATTCCCTTTCCACATTTCCTCTGCTTGACACATGAGGTGCCATCTCCTCAAATTTTAATCATCGGTATAAATTCCCTCTAGCTTCCCCTGAGTTTTTTTCAAAACGATCTTGTATTTTTGGATCTAGCTGTATATTTATTCTTCTTGATCGCATTCACATTCATGCACATACACATAGGCACATCCATTTTACAACTACGCTTAGCATCTGCTTAAGGTGAACTCTGGCAGCCAGACAAAACACAGCCCATTTTGATCTGCCAGGCTTCAATGAGTAGAATCTATCGAACTGACAGCAGCGGCAGCAAGATCACACAGCACATTGGGAACAAAACCTCTCATATATTGGGAAATTAAGATTTTTGGGACCCAACGTACTTGGAAAATGGAAACGTACAGAAATATAATTTGCTTTCCTGAGGGGGGAAAAAAAGCTAATTTTCCCATTAGTTAGCTATTCAGTCCTTTACTCACATTCAGTAATTTGGCTCAGGTATAGAGCATTTCACTTCCTATAGCCATTGTGTCCTTGATACTGCATTTAAGTGCTCTGCTCTCTGTTCTGAGTGGGTTGTTCTTCACAGCTCAAACCAATAGCTGTGAGGTTTTGGTTTCTAAAACAAGAAATCTCTTTTTCTTCCAAAAAGATTTCTATCTTGGCTATCACCAAGCAATTTCTTTCCTCGCTCATACAGCAACTACATAGTTCTTTTCTGCCTGAAATAGAATATCATCTGAAGAACTACTGGAGCTAAATTAACAAGCTCAGCTAGTGACTCACTGTAAAGTAAGGAAGGATTTGCACAAGCCGGCTCCCCACACAGTGCTTCCTGTATAAGAACTGGCAATGATGTCCTCCTTCCCCAAGCTCTCCACATGCTGTCTGCACTAAATAAACAAATCATTCAGGAAGGGACACAGTTGCAATGACCTATGGGCCATTCCTGCTGCTAAACAACTGGAAAAGCTGGCAAGGTGCAAGAAGGACTGCACCTGCAAATTTGGAGGAACACTCAACTCATGTGGCAGTGTGCTTGCTCGGGGCCTTGCAGCTGGAGGGGTTGAAGGTGCTGTTCCTTTTAAGAGAGAGTTGAGCTCCCAGTAATGAACGAGTTCTGCGGAACTTAGCATTGTAAAATATTACCAGCAAAACTATGCAAGATGATGCATTGGTGTCCCTGCATACTCCACGTATGGACGTCTTTGAAA